TCCCCCCCGGCAGCCCGACCCTACCTGGGGCTGGCCCCGCCCGGCAGGCCCCGCCGCCGAGGCGCCCGAGCGCGGAAGCACCTGCGGAAGCCGCCGACGAGAAGCCTCCAGCCAGACGCCGCCGCCTCGACAGCAACCCACTTCCGCTCCGGAGGCCTCGGCTCCGCCCCCCATGCGTCCCCATTGGCCGCCGCCGCCCTACCCCGCGGTCTACCAGTCGAGGAGGTAGGTTTTCAATCCTATTGGATAAGACAACCATCTATTACCACTTTGAAACGGGCCTCCTTCCGGCCTCTCCCACGCTCGCGAGCTCAAGCTCCCGGTTTCCCGCGAGAGTCGCGGCCGGCGCCCCTCCGCCCGCAACGCCTCTCGGGAGTTGTGGTACGCGGAGTGACCGCTGCCCTGGGCTCCGGCACCCTTTCCGCTGGCACGTCACGCCCGGCCGACGGCGCGGAGCTGGACGTTAGTGCAGGCCAGCCGTTCCGCGGCCGGCATACCCGGGCCCGCTCCCGCCTCTCTCCGGGCCTCAGTTTCCTCGCTGTTGGTGAGGCCTTTGTGAGCAGTGTTCCCGGGGTCTCTACCACGGCCGGAAACCGACCCTGGATCTGCAGCTCCTCCAGGACGCCCGCGACGTGCCAGGCCCTGGGTCGGTATCTGGTCCCCGTGATCCCGGACTCTCCCAGGCTGGTAGTGGAGACAGGAGAGAGGCACAGCCTGGCCCAGCTGCGGGAACCCGGAGGAAACACTCAACCAGGACGTCTGGGCGGGCTCCCCAGAGGAAGCGACCTCGGAGCTGAGAACTGGAAGGACTAGAAAGGAGGAGAGAGTTCCAAGAAGAGGGAGCCTGGATGGGGAGAGGTGCGCTGGCATGTCCAGGACACTGAAGGCTGCCCAGTGTGCCAGGAGCACAGAGGTGGGGAGCGGCGGGGGTCGGGGGAAGCAAGAGTCAGATCTTGGAGGGCCCCGATTCCAGGTTAAGAGTCTGGAGTATCCCTTGGGCAGTGGGTGTCAGGAAAGGAAGGACTGAATCCGTGGAGGGGCACTCTTGCCCAGGTCCAGTGCTGGGAAAGGGGCCATAGCCCAGGCAGAGGCTGGCAGCGGCCAGGGGCATCTGGTGCAACTCCAAGGGTCAGGAGAGTGCAGGCCCTGGATCCCTCCTGCCTGAGTTTGAATCCCAGCTCCACTGTTTAAGCAGGTTTGACCAGTTCCTTCACCTGTCACTTGGGGATAACAACAGTACCTACCTCAGAGGAAGAAGTTGGGGAGTTGGAGGACTCAACATAGCACAGCACAGGTGCATGCCAGCCCCTGGGTGGGGAGGGCAGAGCAGAATCTGATTAGAGAATTGGGTGGTGGGTTCCTTGAGTTCAACTCCCAGAACTGGACTTGGGCATGGATTTGGCAACCGGAAAAGAGAGCCCAGCTTGTCCCTCTTGTTCTGAGAATACCCAGATCTCAGGCCACGGCCATCATCTCTGGTCCCTAGGCACTCTCAGGCAGTAACCAGGTCACTCCAGAGGCCTTGGGGTGGACTGTTTCCTAAGAAGGGGTCTTTAACCCAGAAGATTGAGTCATGTATGGAAATGACTAAGCAGATCAAAACCAGAGCATTAATGTTTTTCTGTTGAGTTTACCGAGCAATCTCTGTGTTGCTATTTTATGTAATTGTAAGGGAATTTGGCATGGCAGAGTATCAGATAAATCTGATTCCATTGTAAAATTTGTGGTTGAGTATTTGCTTTTTTTTTTTAAAGATTTTTATTTATTTATTTTCCCCCCAAAGCCCCAGTAGATAGTTGCGTGCCATAACTGCACATCCTTCTAGTTGCTGTATGTGGGACGCGGCCTCAGCGTGGCCGGAGAAGCAGTGTGTCAGTGCGCTCCCGGGATCCGAACTCAGGCCGCCAGCAGCGGAGCGCGCGCACTTAACCGCTAAGCCACGGGGCCGGCCCATGAGTATTTGCTTTTGATAGTGATTTTAAGTTGGGAGATAAGATTTTCCAAAGTTTGTGATCATAATTGGAATATTAAAGAGAATTTACACGTTTAAGAGAAATGTAGACATTTAATACATCTATAGGAATTTTTAAATACTGGAGAGGGCAGACAACTGAAATGCTAAAAAAGGAAAGTAGATTCTACATGTATAAATGCAGTTTAAAACGTTTAAGGGAATTTCAGCTTATAGGTGGGACCATATATGACTAACCAAAACAATAGTTAAAAATGACCAGATTTATAGATAAGATTAGTAATTTGAATTTCATAGCCTAAGGAAAAGCTAGAGTTTTCCATTTGTGACTTTAATACATTAAAGACATGGTGTTGAAAAAGTCATGACAGATACCAGTTTCGTGTTCAAAAGCTGCCTTGAAGGCCTCTCCGAACCTCACTTGACACTGAACTTGTGGTGTGAGCATCCCTCGCTCCCTCACAAATAGTCCTCCATCCTGCCCTGAACGTCCCCAGCTTAGAGAAAAGACTGGCACCTCGGTGCTTCCACAGTGCCACACAGCTAAATGCAGATTGCTGGGCCTCATACCAGAACCTGAATCTCTGTGGATGGGGCCTAAGAATCTGCTTTTTAACTATCTCCAAAGAAAGAACCCTTGACCAAGTGAGTTTCAGATACTGTCAAGGAGGGTCTTCTTGCTGAAGACTGGTATTTCTTTATGCAGAAAATACACTTAAGCAGAATGTCAGTTCCCCAGGTGGTCCAGAGAGCTTTCTCAGCATCAGCTGGACCTTATCTCCCCAGCTGGTCCTTGTTCCAGGAGCAACTTGATTCTCTCTCAAAGGGCTCACGCAGGGAGGGGGAGGCAGGGATCCACAGTGTGAATGAAAGCCTTCGGCTTTTGAGGGCACGTCAGTTAGCTCTTGCTTCAGAACAAACTTCCTCAAAGCTCAATGCTTTAAACAAATAGGCATTTATTGTTGCTCATGAATCTACAAGTTAGTGGGGCGTGGGGGGGTGGTGTCTGGTCCTGGCTAGCCTCACATGTTAGGGTCTGTAGGGTGGTCGAGGATGGCGTTAACTGGGACAACTGGCTCTCCTCCACGTGGTGTCTCATCCCAGCAGGACATCCTGGACGTGCTCATTTTGGGGCTAGGTAGGGTTCTGAGAGAACAAGAGGGAGGTCCAAGGCCACCTGAGGCCCAAGCCCTGAACTGGCACACAGCCACTTCTGCTGCACCCTGTTGGCCAAAGCAAGTCAGCCCAGATCCAAGGCTGGGGGAAATAGACTCCGCCTCTTGATGGGAGATCACAAGGCAAGGAACACGGATATAAGGAGACATTCTGCCATCCCCAACCTCAGGGGATGGCCCAAGGCCTGCTCCCACCCAGGACTGTATGGAGCAGAAGCCCCAGGGGCTCTCAAAGGAGCCCTGAGCAGCTGCCCAGTCCAGGAGGGTGGGTAGGGACCTTCTGGACTGCCAACCAGCATTGTTGCCAAAAGCACCCCGAGTTTATTGGGCCATCACCTCTCCCCTCTGTTCCAGAGGCCAGTCTGATAGGTGAAGGGTAATTCTCCCCTCCTGCCACAGTGCTTGCTTTGGGCACCCATGCAGACCTTCTCCCCTGCAGGAATTGGCTGCATGTTCAATTTAGGCCAGTGAGACTGGATGTTCGCACCAGGCTTCCAGGACAGAGAGATTTCCCTTCCTAAGAGCTGCAGGGAGAGATGGCCCTTCTTCCTGTTGGGAGGCTAGAACTGCTACCAGCTTAGAGATGGAGCTCCTGGATCAGGCATGTCCTGAAGTCCACTCTACCTTTGGATTGCCAGTTATGAGAACTAATAATTCCCCTTTTGAAACCCTCAGAGCTCCTGAGGGGCTCTCTGGACAGATCATCATCAATGTTATTCCCTCAATATCAAATGAGATGGATTTGAATCATACAACACAGAATATAAGAAATGTCATGTTTATTTTTTTTAATGAAATTTAAAAAGCTCTAACTTGACAGGGAGGTGGGAAGTTCCTACCTTTACTAACCCAGGCTGTGAGAAAGTCCTGGGGTTGACATGATTCAGAATTTTGGGGGAGAACTCTGGTCTTTAGTCTGTTCTTGTCACTGTGAGATGCCCACCTTCCTGATCTAAATGTGCCCTGGGATTCAGCCTCCCCCTCTGAGATGCCATCTCCTCCTCCCAGGATATGGGGTGTGGGGGGATCTCTCTCCTGGACATCTGTCCACCTGGCAGTTTCCAGCCCCTCCCTTACTGCCCCCCACACCATGGACTTGCCCATACTCGCTCTTTCCTGGAAGCTGCAGCACAGCTAGCTTTATTCCTGAGGCTGCCTTTCACCAGCTGGCTTTCACTCAGCCAGCCCGTCCTCAAGGCTATGCCCTTTCCAGCCCAGTGCTGGGTCCGAGGACCCAGGAGAATGAATTTATCCTGGTCCCAGCCCTGGGCGAGCCTGGTGGCCCCAACCTTGTTCCTTCAGTGATACTGGAGAAAGTTGGGTGTGTTCTCAAGTCACCCAGGCTTAGATTCAGTCCCAGCGGTGACGGCTCTCTGGGCAGGTCACTTCACCGCTTTGAGCACCAATGGCCTCAGCAGAATGGGGGTGGGGGACAGTTCCTACAGCCTGGCCCGCCCTCCCTCGCGGTGAGGTTTACATGAAATAAGGCATGAGAAGGGCCTGTTCCTAGTGCCTCAAGAATCCTGGCCACTTCTCCAACCAAAGGCACATGCACAATTACACACACAGTCTTGGGGGTCCCCAGGTTAAACCACCGGACTCCAGGCAGAGAGTGGGGATTCCAGGTTTCCACGTGCAGAGAGGACTCTGGGAGCAGAGAAGAGGGGGCGCCGGGAATGCCTTGTGCTGGGCCGGAGGTATGGGCCCGGATCTGGGCTAGGGTGCCAGATTTAAAATATAAACATAAAACATAAAATACACGACGCCCAGAGAAATTTAAATTCCAGATGAAGAGTAGATACTTTTTTTTAGCATAAGTTTGTCCCACGCAATAACTGGGCGTCCTACATTTCATCTGGCAACCCTACTCTGGGCAGATGGAGACTGGGGCGGGGTGCGGCGTAGAGCAGGGGTGCGGAGGCAGCGTGGGGAATGGAGCCTGGGGGGCGGGGGGGCCCAGAGGGGCAGGGAGAGAGAGGAGGAATGGAGAGGAACCCGCGGCCCAGGAAAAGGAGGCAGACACCGCCGGCCTCACGCTTTATTCGGGCGGGGGTCGCGGGGTCCGGGGCGGCCTGCCGGGCTCAGGCGGCCTCCAGGCGTCTCGCGGGCCCGCAGGCCGAGCCTCCCTGCTGCAGCGCCCGGAGCCTGCGCTCGCGGCTCCGCTCCGACTCCAGCCAGTGCTGCGCCTCCAGCGGCGCCTGCGGGCCGGCGGGCGCGGAGGTCAAGCTGAGGAGGGCGCCCCCCCCCCCTGCAGCTTCCGCGCCCTCCCCTGGGACCCGCGCCGCGCCGC